GTATTAAAAAAAACCCCAACTATTCTGGAATGGTAGCAAAGTTTCTCTGTAGAACACAGAACTATCTACAGGAAATCATGTTAAAAAAATCGAATTGTTTGCAAATTCCAGCCCTTAAAATTGAGACAGGGCCTTCCTTGTGTTTTCTGCCAACTCTGTCCTAGTTTTGTGAGAGCTGAGATCATGCATTTCCCCAGCACCCCTGTATCAGTGCACACATGTGTGAGTGGGCAGATTTCAGGTTGCATATGCAAATATAAATCTGATATTGCCCAGTTTTTCAGTTCTTGGCTTTGTAACCACGAGCCATTGGTGCAGTGTGTGTACCATGGTACAGGATGGCAGGAAGGCTGTGGTATGTGCTCTACTGAAGTGCAAACCCCTAATTAGGAGAACAGAAGAGGAAATGTGGTAATGATTCTCTGGAAGAGTGATGGGCTCTCTGCACAACCCCATGATTGCACTGAAATCCCATTTTCACTGGGGTATAGCTACTAAATCCCTGGTGATGAGGACTTGTCTCGAGTCATGGAGTGCTCCTCAGTGTGGTAAACTCAGTGGAGAAAAATGCACAGACCCTCCAAAATCTGCTTCTGCCTACACAGGAATCTGTTGTATTTCCCCAGCCCTGAGAAGGGGGCTGGGAGGCGGTAAGGGAAGAAACAAAACCCAAGAAGATACCCATTTCTGTCTGCATATAGCAGTATGCAGAATAGTTTATGTAAATCAGAATCAGCTATGGGACTTCTGGGAAGTTGGCAGTGACACTGTCAGTGTCTTGAAGTTAAGGTATGAGTGAAATAAAGAGAGGAAATTCTCTTAAAGCTGTTTCTAAATGACCAGTACAAACATGCAGTTCATTCACCAAGAATTGCTTTGGCAATCTACATTGGCAGCTTCAGATACTTGGGATCACTTTCTCTTTTTTATGCTGCACAAAACTGCTTGTGGGTCATTTCTTGAAGCCAGATTCAGCTTTAGCCCTATGTTTGAAGGTGACATTTGAGAGATCATCACAGGCAGAGCAGAGAAAGGAAGCTGCATGAATCATGAGAGATGATCCGTTTGCCAAAGCCCTGTAGGCTGTACCACTCTTGGCATTTTGTGCAGCAGGTCTGTCACATGAAGAGGATTCATACATGACCTGAATAAACTCAATGAGTGTAACTCCCTAACAGCCTGAAAACTGTAAACTATTGTTAAAAACTGTTAACAACAACCCTAAAACTGGGTTTTACCTCTCCAGGCTCCAGTCCTGTGTTTCCCTCTCCCCAGAGATCACAGCTCTCCTGCTCTTCCGTCACCATCACAACCACACGTTGGTTCAAAATGAACAGCCACATTCAGCTCTGCCTACCACCTGCTAGCAGAAACTGGGAATTCACTGCAATTCATGCAACTGGCAGCAGGTCACACACACGTTATGCCCCTGATGCCACAATTTATCTGCACAGTTGATACTTTAGTGTTTCATGTATGTAGTTCAGTTTCCTTGAAATTACCCTTTGAAGGAAAAAAAAAATTAAAAAAAAAGAAACAAAAAAGAAAAAATAAAAAAGACAAAAACCCCACAGCCTTTCAGGGGATCAGAAACCAATTTCAGGAAACATTACCAACTTTGATGGTAAATGCAGCCACTGAGAGTAAATGCATTCTTTAGTGTGTGTATGTGTCTGTCTGTGTGTGTCTGTGTATTGGACCAAGTTTTTTATTGAATTTCCTAGAACAGAGGAATAAAACTGTGCAATGCTATGACTTACTGCTGGAATACCAAAATATACCCTTATCAATGGTGAGCTATTTTTAGTATGGTCCATGAGCAAGCAAGAAGTGAGGACTTTTTTGATCCAGGCAAGCTGCTTTTTCCAGCCCTGACACTGGGAATCCTCCAGTGCAGGGATCTCTTGGCACCCCCTGCCTGGGACTCCCCTGATCTCTGGCCCAATGGTCAATCAATGACTGTCCTGGGGAAAATGGGACTCTAAGAAAGGAAGGATAAAATATGCAAGGAATAAAAAGCCAGAATTAAACTGGAGGAGTTAGGCAGTGTCCTTTCAACTAATTCAGAATTTGTAATTCAACCGTATCTTGAAGAGAGCTTTGAATATCTTTGTCCTTAATCTCTTCAAAAATAGGCTATTTTTAGCAGGAGATCTAAGGTCAGGACTTCTCTATTCTGAGTGCAATCCTACTTTTCCATTTTGCTAAAAAGATCTCTGCCCAGTTGCCACTGGCAGCATTTTGGATGCAGAAGTCAAATCTGCACGTGAAGTCACATTTGCATCCTCCTACATCCACATTCCTAATAAAGCAACAGCAACAACTACAGAATGAAATGTTCACCTTGCATAACTAAGAAAAAAACTTCTGAGACACTTCCTAAGAACACAGCCACTGTACTATTGTTGCTGTGTTTATACACCACTGGAACGGGAAATCTTCTGAAGGGCTCTGATGAAACTCCAGCCCAGTCTTCAGCGAAGAAGCCTAAACTCACAGAAATTTCCTCCTAACCAGAGCACAGACTCTGAGCATGGACTTGGGAAGCTACTGGGGCATTTTTAATGTAGTCAGAAATTCTGGGTTTCTGACTGAAGCTCAGAGGCCAAACCTCTCAGGATGTGCAGGACCTTGTCTGTAGCTGCTCCGCCTTTGCCAAGGGTAAGGACAGCACTGTATGAGGATTACAAAGGGTCTAACTGCAAAAAGTACTCCCTGTTAGTAACTAAACCTTTCTTACAGACCCAGGAAGAGAGTATATAAACCTATTTATACAGGAAGTCATGGTAGAGAGCACAGTATTTAAACTTACATTAAATTTACATTCATACATTTATTGTTATTTCTTGCTAGTATTGTAGTAATCATTGTATCTATTTGCCTATAAAAGCTCTTGAGGAAAAAAGTCCCAACACTTGGCATGGGAAGAATTATATCTGTTTTTTCTTTACAAGTGATCACACAGCAAATCTGAATTTTTAAGATGGTGATTAGAGAAATCTAATTATGGAACTTCAGCTTAGATATGGACTAAATCAGCAACTACCTGAAAGCTGTATTAGTTTACGTTGGATGAGGCTGCAGTGTCAGGAATATACAGATCACTTTGTCAACAAGTAAATCCTGAAGGTCATGGACATAGTTTTGGTACTGCTTCAGAAACTGAGAGGTAACTCAGTCCACTCTCCAGTGATATAAGACAGAGCCAGGACAGAGCAGCTGAAGCAAAGAACTATGGAGAAGTACAAATTTAAATTGTTGTAAGAATAGCTCCAGTTACCTTTCCAAAAGGCTTTCCTGTCAGTAAAGGAGTATTAGAATTACCTGTGGTTTCAGGCATCACAGGTCACTACTCACATGTCCAGTAAGTTTTTGAAGGTCATCTTGGAAAGCTCAATTCAATTTATGTGATTAAGGGCAAGGCTTCCTCTAGACTCATTATCAGAAATTTTGCCAGTATTTTCTTGTGACATTACTGTGAGCTGAAATAGATCTGCAGTTGAAATACAGCACAGCACTCATTTCCAGTTTAACACAAGTGACAATAGGACTTCTTGCACTCTCAGAGGACAAAGTGGCCCTGGAAAAGTGAGTCACCTCAGACAGAAACCCTCCCTACATCCCTGAAATCTCTTCAGAACTCCTGCAGGAAATCCTCCAGGCTGGGCACTCTTCCCACTTTCATATTCTTAATTATCTAATTTACTGATAGAGGACATCAAGGCCCCTATGCTAAGCTACACTAATTTTACATAACATAATATTTCTTCTTAATTAATCCAAATGTGTGTGTGGTGAGGTCTGTATATAACTAATAAAGATATTTCTAAAATTAGAAAACGCTTTACTAATATTGTTGGATGATGTTTCTTTAACATCAGATGCCAAAAATTCTACATTTAAAGGACTTTTTTATCTTTCGTCAGAAACTGTCAGCTTATTCTTCTGATTCCTAGAAAATTTCCTGGAGCTGGAACGTGGTGAAGCTAATCCATTTTGCACTCAGCTTGTTGAGTTCACATGTAAAATTGGCTGAGGTTTGCAATAAATCTGGAGAGGGAAAACGTCTGAAGAAAAAAATCCAATTCCTTTTCCACAAGAGCAATTATGGTAGGGTTTTTTTCCTTTCTCTTCTTGGCAAATGAGGAATTAATATTTGTACTCTGAAGAAAACTATTGACCCACCTATCAGGAACTATCCTTTCTCCAGGGACAGAGGAGGAACAGAAATCTGGATAATTTCTCAATACTTTGCAGAGCATAAGCCAATAATAAAATCTATAAAGTAGAAAAAAAGGTGCACGTTCAGTAGTTTCTGTTTGTTTGGTATAGGAGTTATTAGATACTGCAGAACCTAATGTATTCCATCATCAGAAGAATTTGATGGTTTATGATTTGGGATTTGAATGCAACAGTAAAAAAGATCTGTCAATGAAAGTAGATTACAATCCCAGCAAGAATATAGAGGTCAGCATATCATGCCCATGGAAGGTCTTTTCTCTGAGTATTAATTAATAGTGATTTATTCAGATTTAGCCATCCAGACTTGATGGCTTCAAGTTTTAAAAATCCAACCAAATAATCTGAAAGTGTCTCAGTCAAGTGTGAAAGAAATAAGATTGTCCACCTGAATCTGGCTGAGAAGCTGCAAAACACTGTTTTGCCGTCAACTTCTCATTTCTCAACTTCCAGTGTCCTAATTCTGTCTCCTGCAACAGCACCACATCAGTCTTTGTTCATTTCAAGAACAAGACTACTTTTTTTTCCTTTTAATTTGGACTATAGAATCTCTCTACATTCAAAAAAATGGACCTGAGATTTTGATCCATTTAACCATATTAAGAATGAATTTTATTCAGTTTCTATGGACTGAAAAGCAAAGATGAGGGAACACTTGAATAATTTCCGTTACCTCACCCCAACCATAAAAATCTCCCCATGTGTTGATTATGCCCAAGAATAAAATGCATCAGGAACTGATTCCACAATCCTTGACTTACTTCAATAGAAGCTCAGCATTTGCATCTGGAACTGTGAGAGCACCAGGAATATCATCAACACTGTCCACCTGCAGCAGCAAATGAAAATTTATAATCATGTAAACCATTCAGTACAATCTAAACTGAAAGGAAAGAGAAGTGGCGGAAAATGCCTGAAAGAATGGGAAACTATAAAAGCAGAGAGTGAAGATAGCATTGAAATAGTAAGAAAGATATACTGGAGACCTTTTTGGATTATTAATTGATCTTGGTATCCTCACAGTTCCCACTCAAAAACATTTTTTTTCCCAAAGCTCACAACCTCTCCCATGCACTCTTTATAGTCAGAATCCCCTTCCCATATTTCATGGACCTGTATTTGCCTGAGGACTCCAATTGCATGTACAAACAATAACCCTGGCTCCAAAACCCACAGCACTGTTCAGCACCTCAGCTAATTTTCCTGTGCCAAGTTAACCACTCTCCTTTCAGGGGCTTGAGATCTGAAAAGACACAAGAACAGGGAGCTGGAGAAACAGTGTGGCTTCATGCAAGGGAGAGAGTGCTGGGGAGCAAGGGAAGCAATGGAAAGGGAGGAGAGCTCTGTACTGGCTCAGTCTGGAAAGGATCACTCCAGTGGTTTATTTCAGCCAGACTGGAATAAAATTAGCAACTGGCTTTGAAATTCAAGGGCTGTGTTCCTCCAGAGAGCACCTAAAAGCTCTGTAGTCCAGTAGGTGTATCTGGAAGCCACACTAGCTTCATATGCTGCTGCCCTGGCATGTCCAGCCCCGGATTTATTGCTGCAGTTCCCCTGAACAGCACCCTGCTACCTCTGCAATTAGCACCAATATTATTTTTAGGGATCCAAAGTTCCTTCATCAGTTGTGGAGTATGCACATACAGATACACTCACACACAGTCCAGCAAGACAAATTTGTCATTTGGATGAAGAAAACACCAGAAAGCAGGCTGCCCTTTCACAATATTTTTACCAACAATTTGAGACTTTCCCTTTTTTTTCCCCCATTCAAGTAATTACAAAGAAGGATGTCTAAACTACTGAAATGCAGAAAGCCCAAACCACATTTTCATGTGGTTAAGTGCTCAGCATTTGAATTCATGAGACTAATGTGAATCTTGATTTGACTTAGTTAATATCAACAAGGAACTTCCACTGAACATCAGACAGGATCAATTTAATCTGGGCTCAAGGAAACCAGCATCAACTACCCTGGAAAATAATTAACATCATTTAAGATAAGCAATTACGGAATAGCCAGCTGAGAAAGAAATTTTCCTCATAGCCTCAGACAGTAAATTTATTGCTTATTTGAAAAATAGCAGTTTATATCTGCTACAGTGAAATGTTTCAGACAACATGATCTATTCAAAGGAACTTAAGGGATAGAGAAGCTCAGCTGTAACTCAGTCTACAATTAAGTTTAGTTTGCTTAACTTCCAAACACTACTGTTCTCCATCCTAGCCAGCACACATGTACACATCCTTTTTAGAAGACAAAGCCACTAATTCCTCTCATCCATCCCATCTGGATGGGATCTGACCTGTACATTCTCCACAGAACAGCACAAATTCCAGTTCAGACAGAATTAATTATTGCTGTACCAATTGGCTTGCCCTTGTCTACGTAGATGCTTATCAAGGCTTGGTAACAAAATTGGTGACATCTTCAAAATGTAGTTTGTTCTTGGCATAATGATGAATATGCTGTGACTGACAGCCTGGCCAGACACACATTGTTCTTCAGTGATACCTAGCATGATAACTAATACCAGTGAGTAACATCTGTAGCTGTTTTACCTGGAAGAGTTGACTAAAAGGATAAGAAGATGAGCTGTATTCATCAGGCCCACTTATTATCTCTTAGAAAATGACTGACTGGATAGCATGGGAATGGAGATGTGTGTGAGGAAATGTCACAATAGCTTCATCTCTTGGACACATCCTGTTTAAATATATCAAACTCTAACCCAAATTCTTCATCAAAGTGGGTGACAGAGGTTCATGCTTGGCTCAGTGCTGCTGGTTTCACTGCATCTGAAAGCAGACTCAGAGACAGTGTGGTGTCTGATTTACTTGCAAAATCAAAGAATTCCGATTTCAAGGGTTTCGTTTAAATGAAAATTCAGATTCTGGAGAAGAAAACAAAACCCACTAAAACAGGAAGGATGGTATTGTGGTTAAGTTTCTAGTATAGGGCCGTGAAGACCTGAACTATGTTCCATTCCTAGCCAATCTGCATACTATCTCACTCTCTGACTTCAAGCAAATCACTGAATCTCTTGGTGCTTCAGTTCCCCTTTTCTAAAGATGATGTTGGTGACTTGATCAGTTTAGATAATGAGCACATTCATGTAAGAGCTACCATGTATCAGCACAAGAGACTCTAACCTCAAAAGACTAACAGTCAAATAGGTGACCCTATTTACTGAACTATTTTTGCAAGAAAGTATGAATTCCATATGAATTCCCACACTGATCACCCACTTACTATACCAAACTCTAAACATGCTGTCCCACAGATACTTTGCCTACCCATTAATCCAGATTCATAACAGAATCAGTGTCTGCTTCTATTCTCAAAAGCTAGGAAAAAGCTAAAATGCGGAGTGCCTGCTGATTTCCTAAACTTTTTAGGTTTGTTGTTTTTTATTTTTCCTAGAGGACTGTCCCTGCAGTGGGGATGAATTCGGCAGAGTATGGAATGCCCCATAATGGAATTTATACTGGGAAATACCACACATGGTATCATAACCTCCTCCCTCCTGGTGATTTTAGAGGGTGAAGAAAGGCTTGGAGCACAAGTAGAGGAAGCTCTGCCTTCATTATTCTGCTTAGCTGGGCTAAGAGTGTGGGGTTTGGAAAACTAACCAACAGGCAAATGTCTCATGTATCCCCAACAGATACAGCACTCTCCTACCTTCAAAACCATCTTCACAACCATGTTTATTCTCTTGCTGCCTCCTGGCAGACCTTACCTGACAGCCCTATTCCCAGTGCTTTCAAAACAGATTCCCTGTCACCTTTGTTCTGTTTCTAGCCATAAAGCCATATTCCTGCTGCACAAATGCCCAGCAATTCCTCTGAATTTTCTGTCACTTTTCAAAACAATGTTTGCAAAGTAGGGCTAAGAACTTTTGTTTTTAACAAAAGTTGAGTTTGTTCTTTGTCCTAGCTTTTAGGAGGTTTATTGATACCTTCAGAGCAAAAGCATTTACTTTCCTGCTCTAGAAACAAGGGAGAAAGGAAGATGATATAATGTCTCCAAGTAATCTTCTCTCCAGATTTTGCTCTTCCGTTCTGGGACCATCAACAAGGAAGGGAATTGCTGTTTGTGTTCACATGGAAGGCTTTACTTACCAAACAGACTCTAAGTCTAATTCACCTTGCAAAAAGCAGCAGGTGCTCCTTAAGCCGCCAGAGCACAGATCAGAATCACCTGGACTGGCAGCAGTTCTTTCCCCTTCAGTCCTTTATGTGAAGATGTTTTGCCATGCGCTCTGTCCAGCAGCGCTGCCCTGGTTCCCATTTCTGCACTGCCCTCTGCTGGGTCCAGTGACCGCAGCCTGGGTGATCCTGCTGGCACAGAACTCTTCCCGAGGCACACACTGCTGGGGTTTAAGGTGAGGGAAAGGATACAGGAAAGGATACGGAAGGACGGGAATGGAGGGTTGCAAAAATGAAACATGAGTGGGTAAATCTGAAGATTTCCCAAGAAAGCTCAGCTTGTGGGACCCTCACATCTAAACCCTCAACTCCTTTCACAAAAACTTCACTCACTGGGCCGATCTCCTTCACACACTACATCTGAAGCCCACTGCTCCTGGGCAAGCCTTTCTAAGGCACTTCATGGAGCACTTCGGACTACTCTCACTATGATTCACATACGGGACTCACGTAGGATGTCAACCTCCATAAGCAGCAGCCTGACACACTTGGCTTCTGGTATCCAAGCTGGCAGGTTCACTCTATCACTCTCCTCTGTGACTGGGAGTCTTTGAGCCTTGCCAAGCTCTGAAGCTTTGCAGCAGAATATTATTACCACATTCCTGCTCAATGAACACGACTTTTTGGATGGACACTTTGTCAGCTGCACTACTCAGTCCATGGCAGACAGACTGCATGTGCACCTGCAAGATCTTTCTTTTCCCTGTGATCTTACAAAACTAAAAATTACATGAGAGTGAAACAGCTTTCTTGGCACATCTACAGCAACCTTCAGCCAATTCTGTCTCATGTGAGAAACACACACCCCACTGTGCCATGAAGTACTCTGCCCCTTACAGCCACAGTGACGGCAGGACAAAGCTGCAGCTGCAGGGACCTCATTCACTGGGCGCCCCAGGGACTGGGAGAGGAGTTAAGAGGATCTGAGCTGTACTTTTGGTTCTGATTTACCTTATCTTGACAGAGTTAAGCACTTCAAAACCCTTTTCTTTGAAGGGCAGGGGGGAGGAAGGAGACTTTGTCTTGGCTAAGTAGACTTTAAGCTGTTAAGGGCAAGGCCTGGCTGTAATACCTGTGTGAACACCAACAGTGCTGTATCCAAACCATGGAATCTACTGCATGGAGCACACTCTGCCAAAGCAAAGAGTGGAAATATTGCATGTTCACATTCTAAGGGAAGTTTCAGTTCCACCACTCCTTCATGCTTTTGTTTTACACAGTAAAGCACGTGAGCTTTCCGCAGTAGCTTATGCCAAACCTTGACTCAAGCGCTGTTGCTCAAAACTTGAGAGAGGATTGAGAGCATAAAGTGAATCTCTGCGCCAGGTCTTAAAATTAATAGCACACTGCTTCTCCAAACTCATGACAACTATGTTTTTGCATGACAGAACATAAGCAGTAAATTTTGGTGGCTAAAAAAATCATCAGAAATTTCCAGATTCAATGTTGTACACTGGCTGCACATCACTGTAAGGTGCTGTATTGCCACCAGGTTAAGTCAGTCTGCGATCACACTGGATTTTGAAAAGAATATTTAGTCTCAAAGCAAGAAATACATTCCCTCAACTTCATCCCAAAGGACAACTCACAAGGCACTGCCAGCCCCTCTCCCCTTAACCATTTGACAGAGGCATTTCCTTTGCATTGTCACAAAACTGTCATGTTAACGACAGGGAAACTTCTTGGCCTTTAAAACTTAGTGGTTATTACTTTAAGAAACGGTGGGGTATTTGAGGTTTCAGATCGCCTTCTGGGTGAGCAGGAGAGCATTCCAAGTCTCCTGCATTGACTGCTGGCAAGGTTATAAACACAGCTGGGATTGGAACAGTTACTTTTAATTCTGATTACTCTGGAGAAAACCCTAGGAAACCTTCTGCTTTGAGAACTCAAACCCCAGTGTAGGATCTTTACAGTCTTCTCGGTGGAAGGATCATAAGCTTCTATGAATGCTTTTTGCACTTGGAGATTATTATCTAATATTTTGTCCTTTCTTGAACATTTAAGTTATACATTAAGTACTCTCACCTCTTCTGTCCATGCTGGCCCGTTAGCTCTGAGGACAGCAGCTATTTTCAGTTAAACCTCCCCGCAGTGGTTGCTCGCTTGCTTTTCTTGCTATTTCTCCATCATATTTTGAGGTAGCTGTCAGTCAGAGCCTCATCCATCACCTACCTCTAGTGTCCCCTGGCCTCCCTGGAGCCTCAGAGCGCTCCCGTGCTCGGATTTGCCCCGCAGCACCTCTCGACCCTACCCGCGGCCACCGCCTGCTCCGCCGGGGCTGTGGGGGAAAAAAAAAAAGCAATAAAAGAATAAACCCAGACGTAGTCGGATATAAGAAGTGAGGTTGAAGAGCATCCCCAGCGGCGGGGCGGGGAGCCCGCGGGGCATTCTCTGGAGCCAGAGCTACGGCTGGCTCAGGGCCACCAAGCCGTTGCTAAAGCGAAAGTGAACGTAGCCACATGTTTTCCGAGAAGGGGAGGAGCCAAGCTGAGCTCGGCCGCGTTAAATAAAAGCCGGGGCGATGCGCGGACACAGAGCGCTGGAGGTGCCGCTCGCCCGCCCGCCCCGCGGCAGCCCCGGCTCGCCGCGGCGCCAGGCAGGGCCCCCGCCGGAGGATGCT